TGCTTTGCCCAGTTCTTTCTCTGCCTCACTGCAATGTACAAAAACAATCTCTGAGTAAACAATTTAAGTGGAAATTTCATGAACAAGTCTGTCCTGCTTATGCGAGACTAGAATGAGATTTTTTTGTTTATACAATCATCGGCTAGGTACTCACACAGACACACAAGCTCCAATCTTTCATTTTTTCTCTCTCTTCTGTCTTTCTTTTTTCTTTTCTTCCCCCTCCCTCCTTTTTTAAAAAGGGAGACGGTCTTGAGATATCAACATTGAGCTGACCGGCCACAGGTTTTATATCATCTTGCTCATCTGATTGCATCAGGATCCGAACTCAGGTCTGTATTTCAACGGTCCATGGGTGTACCAACTAAGCTAGGCCCAATCAATCTCAAGGATTCTATTTGTTCGAGTGGCAGTTAGCTCATTGTGGTGATCCACCGACTGTGTTATTAGTCAGTAGTGTCTCTTCTGGAATTGGGACTAGCTCTTTAATCCTTTCAATGTCCCTGAAACTCTTACCATTTTTAGACCACATGTCCTGGACCACCAGCCATTTTCAACCACCAGTTCCCCCCTGAGACTGGAATGAGGTCTATACAATCATCGCCTAGGCACTCACACAGGCACACAATGAAGGGGACCCTTAACTCCAGTTAAGCACTTGTCTTAAGGCACCAGTATTTTTCCCAGTCTCTTTTTAAGAGTCGCGGTGTGCATGCTGCTACCACTCTCGGGAAGTACCGGCGCGCCATTTCGCAGCACATCCACCCAGGCAAAACGGGTTTCATTGCAAGGCTCATTTTGCCTGGATGGTACTTCCTGAGACTCGCGGCAGCACTCACGCCGCCACTCTGGGGAAAGTACTGTTGGTTTAATGTCCATCTTTGCCGGATTAGTGCATGGCAAGAAGTGGAGACGAACGGAAATGATGAACAGGGTCAGAATGGACTTGTGGTATTCATCAAGGAGGATGCTATAAGACCACCTAGTGAAACTGGATAGAGACAAATTGAAATGAATATTTGTCTATTGCATTCGTTCGATCAAAAATTCAATCAGAGAACGCAGTATGATGAAGATTGTATGCTGTGTTCGGGAAGAATGAATCGTGTGTCAGGCTTTTTCATTAGGTTATTGATTGATTTTCTGATTATTTAACCAATCAATAAGTTGAGACGTTGAGGACTCTGGTTCAGTATGAATAGAATGAATAAATTATCAATATTGATAATTTTACTCTATGTATTATCGTTCTTTATATATATTTTTATTGTATAATAATTCAATCAAGTCGAAAAAATCGCGCCCGCACCGTCGGTTAGCGCAAAAAAGCGCTGCGCTAATTCGAAGTAGGGCGGCACCCGGAAACCGCCATCGTCGCCTTCCTGCCCACCCGCCCGCGCGCCTCGCCAGCCCAACTTTGAACTGTTTGAAGTAGGGCGGCAACGGCCGCCATCGCCACGACATGGCGGAAACACCCTGATCAAGCGCGCGCCCAGCGCGCGTCCCATCACCAAAGGGTGGAGACACCTCGTTCAAGCCAGCCATTGCCGCGAAGGAGAAGCAACTCTATCCCTCCAGCTCATGCCGACCTGACACCTGTAGCGCCCGGGGCGCTCGATCACGAGGTTATCCAGTCCGACATCTGGCCCGAGATAGCTGGCCAGCAACTACGACCTCCCGGCACCTTGAAAGGAGCGACATCACTGCGACACGCAGGCGGGACATCATCCCGTCTATACTCCAGGAGCAGAAGAAGAGGAGGATCAGCTGAAGCTGCATGGAGGCCACGAAACAGCAGTCGAGTATCAAGACTAAGTGAAGTCGACTAACACCAGGCGTCTTCTCCTCCTATCCTCACCCTACGCCCAATYTTCTATCTTTCCCCTGCACAYCCCATACCCTCCTCCTCCATATCCATCTAACCCCAGCGTCGATCCCAACTCGACTACTCTCCCACAACCTTCTTCCACATCCACCCAACGCTCGGACCTAGTCCAGCGAAGGGTCCGTGACATTCCCCTCCCCAACCCGCCAC